GTAGTGACCTATCAAATGGGATGTGACCTATGCAATGACTTGCAGGGGCAAGCCAGTGTACAAGTCCGCCTTTCAGACGAGTATGATGCCAGTTTACCGTTCCCGAAGGGGGGGGGGGAAGGTTTGGTTGGCCCGGAGGGAGCTGAGCCGGGATCTGATCCTAGGAGCGAGCGTGTGTTAAGCGTGGTTTCCTCTTCCCCAACCTATATAATTTCCGCAAAATCCGGTTTTTGATGATTAGGGCCAAGACTAGCACGTTCCTCAAAGGCGTGAAATCTTACGGTGATGAACAATCTGTCCTTGATATGCGCCACGCATTCCACTTTCATTCAAAATCGCAGTGACATTTCAAGGGCAATATGGCTTTTGTAAGCATTTACGAGCCAAGGAATGTACGATTCAGTGTTTCGTCATGAGTGTTTCTGTTGCTTAGCAGTCGGCCCTGAAGGGACTCAAGGCTCGATGGGATAAGGCGAAGCCAACCCGGATTTTGACCCCAAACCTCACGCGGCCGCTTGCGCTATAGCTCATCCACCATTAGTTAAATAAACCTGCTAGTACGAGTGAAATGGTAGGCTAACTCGTATAATTCTTACGGGGGCCAGGGTACAGCATCGTTGTGTGAAACACATAGGGGGTCGTACTTTTTCTCTGGGGAGATTCGTATTTGGTGGTTGGGAGAGAGAGGAGTGTGCCTTTGAGAGAAACTGGTCGCGATGGTTTTCCGGTTTTTGACTTTTTGCGTGATTTTTCCTGTTTTTATGTGCACTATATACCCCCTCTCCCCTCCCCCTGCTCGACGGAAAATTTTTGGGTGAAAAAACTGGAAAATGGGGGAAATTTGTAGGTAGGTGTTGGGGAAGGGGGGGGGGATCTTACCGAGGCACTCATTCAGGGGGGCCGTAGTGACACACGGAAGGGGATTCGAACCATAATCCACACACTTCACACATCACGAATGTGTTCTCTGCAGGGGCACTTCATAGTGAACTGGTTTCTCCTTGATGATGAACTTGCGAACACCCCGCCGCGAAATTCTCTATGAAGTCTTATTGTGTGCAGAGTGCTCTTGTAAGGAATTTTGAAATAATTCTAAATATGGATAAAAAATGCCCCGGTGAAATCATACTGCGAATTCAAGCTTACAAAGTCAGTCGCTCCCGTCCTCTTCCAATGAGGAGTTATGAACGAATTCGCGCCATCCCTCAAAAGACGTCGAACATTTTTGCCAAAATATCCAAACATTTGAAACCACTACAATTTGCGTAAAAGGATTAGTTTACCCAGCCTGGAGGCTCAGGTCGAGATATCTCATCACTGACCCTTAAGGCAGCGTCCGCGATCAACCAAAGTGAAAAAAAAAAACCCTCCAATGAAAACGAACGCGGAGTTCGCAACCATAGCGGATATCCCACTCTTGCGGCTCGAAATGTATTGATTGACGAGGGCGGAGTCAACAAGGCTGAGCTGACGCCTCCTTCCCTGTTAATCCCGCCCCGACTGGTTAACAGTTATCAGTGCTTGCTGGCATTGATAAACGCTAGTTTCTGGAGTTCCGAGCCGGCGACTGTATTGGAGAACTCACCAAAGGTCTGCGAAACTCGTCCACATGCCTTAAATTTCGTAGGGTCTTATTTCACGCTCTTCCACACCTTTTCCTACTTTTTTTGATTAGTGCTTCATTGGCCACCTGTTCTAACAAATTTGACCCCTGAGACCTGCCAAGTCCGCGGCGCTGTCTTTAACTGTTTTTCCCCACCGTTCAGCACCAAATACCCTTCACATGGAAAGAACTAGAAACTGCATGAAACGGAAACTCCAGGCCAGTATTTTCAGACTATCCATAAGTCCATTCAACAATGTAACCTGAGCGATAATTAATGGATTTTACTTGTTGAGATTACTCCATATTTCTGCGTCACAAATTTACAGCCTGCTTTCTTTAGGCAATAACATCGCACATGGTGACCTACTGATAAGTTAAAAAAAAGCAAAAGAGCATTTGAGGTCTTGAGGGGAGAACACAAACGGCACTAGTCCGCCCTTCAACCCTAGAAGTGGTGAAAAGTTTGCAAATGAGATTAGAGGCGTTTGTGGTGCGCCTCGCCGTAGAGCAGGAGAGAACTAGAAAGGAGCTGCGTGACGCGTAATTTATGACTAAACGATTCGTGTCGAAGCGAGTTAGCGTCTTTTATATTGCGAACAGGGGACTGGGAACCTTGAGAAGGAATCAAAGATGAACCCGAAAAGGATGAAAGCAGCCGTCTGAATAAGGCCCGCGGCATTCCCTTCGATCAGAGAGCACTCGTTGTTTGACAGAGCAAAGGTAATTCGGGTGATGGGAGGATGGGAACAGAGCAAAGATCCACTCTGGGTAGCGCCACGTAGGGTGTTTCAGGGAGGGAAACTGACTTTGGCGCGACACCAGCTCATTCTCTTCCAAAAGTGGCAGCTGACATCGATCACAACGATGCAGACTGGCTGGCGCCGTTCCAAAAGCCAGCCTTCTAAATCGCTTCATGATCCGCAGGCGAAAGAAGAAACTATACCTGAATGATAGAAAAAAAATAGTATCACCTGGAATATTATAGACCACCGCAAGCGGTTCAATCTCAAACGATCTTTGCAGCCTTTTTGACAATCAATGAATCAGAACAAACTATCTCAAAGCAGTCAAGCTTCAAATACAGCCCTCTATCATGCTGCTCAGGGCGTGTACTTAGCTATGAACGCGCCTGCAGCGCATCTGTGGATAGTTTTCGGTTCAAAACAGAGAGTTCTCGCCACATGGACTGGATCTCACACGCATGCAAACGACACTACTCCATAGACAACAGTCGTCGGCGTTTTCACTCCAGATAAAGAAGAAAAAGGTTTTTAGAAAGAGTTCAGGCTGCTGGCCAAGGCCTTCAGTGGGTCCATAGACACGCCCTCTCGTGGCATCGAGATATGGGTCGAAAGTACAAAATAAACTCCGCTCAGTTTACTAGACAATACTTAACCTTTCAAGACTTAGCACTGATAGAGATAAGCATATAATAAGAGGAACAATGTTCCAGAGAACAAATGAGAGGAGATCCATCTAATCGCAAGCCTAGGCTATTTCCTGGAAACAACTGCCCACCATTCAAAATGAGACCACCTGCCCACAGCTAGTTCTGCAGCTACTACTCGACATGAAACGTGTCACGCTGCAACCAGTCGGACTGTATAACCGCCGCTTTTCTGGTTTCCTGGTGATTTCTGGTGGTAAAAACAGATTGCAACGCGACCCAAACGACACCCTCACAAGAAACCAGTTGCGATGAGATTTTTTTACTCAAAAACAAGGCCTCGGTAGGTAACGACGAGGGTATAACAACATGTCACAGAGAGCTGGCACAAAGGGACGTTAACGGTCGGCAGAAGCGTTTACTCGTAGCAAACAAGCCCACACATTCAAAAGAAAATTTAGGAAAGGATGATATTGCAGTGGAGTATACTGTAAAATAATCATACTGTTGATGTAATCGCAACCAGTGCGGGGTGGGGGTGTCAGGAAGCATGGACTGAGCCCCCCCCCTCAATCCATGCTTCCTGAACCGATCACTATTAGTAAAAAAGGTAGCCAGGGTGGGCTCAGTTTGCCCCCTCGTAGACCGCCGATTGATTGCGACGACATCGCCTATAGAATATCGTACCTGTGGATGTCGAATAGTGAGACGAAGTAGTTCGACTGTGAAAAAGGTAAAATAAATCTGATTCACAGATAAGCCCCCAATCAGAATGAAAGCCATGTAGAGGGCTTACTACTAGAATAAAGCCATGTAGAGGGCTTACTCCTAGTATTGCTCAACGTTCCCAGGCTTCTAATGATAAGCTATCTGTCATCCAGCTAAATCTCAATCGATGTGCAAAGACCAGGTAATCCTTCAAGCAAAACACTTCAGTTTACCCGATCTGACAGCAGAGAAGAAAGCAGAAAATAGCAAAGCAGGGAATGTTAATGAGGAAACTTCCTTTCATCCGTTCACTTGGTTCGCTTCGGTGGAGTTTTTATTAACAAAGATGATTTCGGGAGTGGAACGATCAAAGACATTAGCTGATGGGAAGCGAACACCGTTGTTAATGGGAAGCCGTCAATAGCTGCCATATGCAGTCCATTACGGGCCGCCCGCTCCAGAGAGCCACTTTAGACACAAAGGTGGAGCGCTTCCGGGGCAAAAGGCGTTTCACATAAAACAAAACTGGACAAGGTTGGGCAGAACTCGGCTGGGGGACGAGTAGGGGGGGAGGAGGGGGTGTATTTTGCACTTTCAATGAATCTCACTGTTGTGTTGAGCCATGAAGAAGAGGTTTTCGGAAATATTGTGAAACCATGAAGTTATACCCAGGCGAATTCCGAGCCAGTTTACCGTCCCTGGACTGTAGAAGGCTTAAGCGGTCTGGAGGGGAGCCGATTCAGAGTCTGACCCGGATCGCGCGCGTAGTAAGCGTGCCACTTGCCACTGCACCACGTACGCCACGGTACATTAACAAACAAATGAAATGTGATTGCTAAAATGCAAAAGAATTCAGGAGACTAAGGCCAGTAAATCAAAGGAAAAAGTCGGCGATATTTCTGGTGCAATTTGAAAGAAAAAATAAAAAGAAATTGAAAAAAATCAGTTAGAAAGGCTGGTTTCTCCACTGATTATCAAGCAATGGTTTGCGAGAAGAGAGCTTCAATAATACTAAAGGCTGTAAAGCGAAGGAAACGAGGTATCAGGCCAGCAGCAGAACAAAAACTCAACCGTAAACCAACACTCACTTTAGTTTCAATTCCTTATTAATCTCCGTCACAGAAGCTTCAAGATCCTGACGCTCTTGTGAATGCAAGACGGCCGAGTCGTGGAGTTCGTTCCTCGCCTGAAAATAAAAAGTTTCATCATTAGGAATTCATTGAATTGAAAATACCCTCTCTCAGAAGTTGAGGAGGCGTGCTATGAAAAGAAAAAGGTTCTCCGATCTTCCTGAATCTCAGTAGACTAGCATCATCATTTCCCGAAAATGACTCCAAGAAAAGAAGAAAAACTAAAAAAAGCTCCAAACTGCCTCCATTATTGGTAAAGTTATTAGGAGTAGCCAATGGAAGAGCGTTAAATATTCAATGAGAGCACTGTTTTACAAAATGGAAGGATTCTTGAGTGCGTGCCCGTGATTCATGGTTACACCGCCAAGGGATTCCCAGGCGTCTCAGACCGCCTCTTCTCAAGCTCAATTGTACCCCTATGAGCGCACTGCTGTATACAAGCTGTGACCGGTTGCGTCTGCGTCCTCATTGTACCCCTATATTAGCGCGATAAAGTATCAAAAGGGAAGAGCTACCAGCATCTATCAAGCTGTGCCGTGCGTTCTGTCTATCAGGCCTACATGATAAACAGAATCCTCCTAAATAAGTCTCTCACGAAGTGGCCAAACCTAAAGGGATTAAAGTGCGCGCAGCAGTCGATTCGCTACTTGATTCCGGACTGTATGTGTGTTAAGACGGAGCTATCTATCGCTACACCATCTTTTCTCCTACCAGAGGAATGTGGGTTCAAGAGCCATACTTCTTCAAGAGACATATCCTATTGTCATTGCTTTTGTACTTACTTAAAGATGAGTTGTCTCTGTAACCACTACAATTTGACCTTATTTCACAGTTGTTGTCTTGTGTCGGATGCCTGGGCGTGTCAGGACGGCAGGGCTTGGCGCGGCGCCAACATGTCTTCCACCTCTTGTCGAAGCTGGCAGGAGAACACAACTGTTGGAAAAGATGGTGGTGTGATGAACTTAGCCCCCAGAATCTATCGTTGGATCATGCCAGCGAAATCGCCCGATAACAGAGAATAAGTCTGCAACAATTGATAAGATAAAACTGAAACGGGAAAAATATCGAAGATTTGATTCCCAGCATCTAGTCAGGTGAGCAATGCGTTCGCTTCTTATAGTTCTTCTTAGATGCCGTTCTTTACTCTCTTAACAACGGTAGCGTTTGCTACGGTCATTATCGCTGTTGTCAGTCGGGCGTGTCGGCGACGAGTGGGTCTGCCTGTTTCCACATATCGTTATGTCTCGGGGCGTTTAATAAGCAGTGACGAGGAGGATGGCGCCGAGCCAAACTCCACGCGCCGCAGGCACGCCTCGGCTGACTTCAATAGTAACGACCATGAATGAGGCTTTTTTTACAGCCTAAGGCACAAAGTTCCCATAATTAATTGATGACGGGGTATTCTCTTGGATTATTGCTATTATTTTTCTCCGTGAAGGGGAATTGATAGTTGGCAGCCAAGAGAAATTCTAGCTATGTCGCTTTCAAGAAAAGATGACGATGATTGTGGCAAAACGAAGGAAGAGAGACAGAGGAAGAGAGATACAGGGGGAGGCAAAAAAGTCACTTTTCTTCCTTGACTTTCGAGGCGCTATAAGTTACACTTTGTTGAACTCTGATCGAACATT